GATCTCACTCATTTCCAAGGGATTCTTGTAACATTGACTGCTTCCATTGAGAAACATAAAAGGCTAAATAACAATAACAATACGATTTAATTTCTCAGTCAACTATTTGAAATAAAAAACGAAACAGCAGAAAAAAAATATATATGGATTGACCTAGCCTTCATTGAGCCCTGATAATTTCAGTCTCAAAATGTAGAGCCTGAGCCAGGCTTGGAATGACCCTCGACAATGGCCTCATCAGTTACCCTTGGTTTGAGCCTGTGTTTAACGATGAAATCAAGCCTGGCTAAGGCTTACCTTACTCAGGCTCGTCAAGGCAAGGCTTGCACAGGCCTGTTCCCATCGTCAGCCTTGGCCATTCCCGAGTGGAAATTCTGTTCAAGTCTCCATCAGAAACTGGTCAAGTCCGATCTGAAATTCTGATCAGGCATGTTACGCCTCTGCCTTATGTTTTTCCACTAAGGATTTCTTCGCCTTCCATCATTAGGCATTAATTAAATTTAATTTTTTTTGAGAGAAAAAATTAGTAGCCTTCCTAGCCGGGAATCGAACCCGGGACCTCCCAATGTCGCGTCGGGTGCTCTTACCATCTGAGCTACCAGGACACTTACGAATTTTAAGTGGAAATTCTGTTCAGGTCTCGATCAGAAACTGATCAAATCCGATCCGAAATTCTGATCAGGCATGTTACGCCTTTGCCTTATGTTTTTCCACTAGGGTTCTTACCTGAACCCTACGTGAATTGTTCCGTAATTTTTACTGAATTATTTCTCTCCGTGTATCATCACCTGATTTATCTCAATTCAGTAGCGAAGCGGTGAAACGATTCAAGGTTGGGCCAGATTTGTCAATTAAGACTCGGTTACTCGCTCCACCTTCGAAACTCAAACCCTGGCCCTCAGAGATGGCCGAACCGTTGACCAAGCCGCACTTGGCAACGCCAAGTGCTTGGTACTTGCCTGAGTGTCCAACACTGGCATTTCCTACATGGGCTAGCCAAATTTTTGCCGTAACCTTTTTTGTAGAGCGAATGGAGAGCTCCAAAAAGGTTATGGGAAATTTTCTTTAGCTACCTTAGATTCCGAGATATTTATTAAAAACTCACCAATAGTCGAATCAACTTAAACCGTTTGACGTCTTCGCTATTGAATTGGTTTCTAAACACCCATTCATACCAACTTACACAAAATATTTGTATGTAAATATATGAATAACCTCCACATTTCACCGAATAATTACCTTTATTTCGTTGGACGTGACGAAGAGACCGTGATGTAGCCTCGAGTGCAGCTCCCAAATAGGACCAACTGCAGGGATCGTATAAACTCGAAATGTTTGGATAGATTTACGTTTCTAGAAACTCTTGCTTCGTGTATTCCAGCGATGAATTCTTTACGCGCTTTCGTGAAGTTCAATCTTGCATGTTCTCATTGTATTTTCCCAGTTCTTCCGATGCCCACACTGCACTGATATGGAGATTTCGCTTACGGTGAACGGACAGGTTCTACAATGTATATTCTCGTCTATGTATATTCATCTGTAGTCAAATATTTTTATTAGGTCTAGCGGTCGTTTAGTGGTTTTTTGCTTTAAGCTGAAATTGAATTTTTTTAAAATTGATATAGTCCCGAAAAAAATTCAAAGAGAAATGGAATTTAGAGAGAAAAAATCTCGCACCGCCCAGCCGAGATTCGAGCCCGGGTCTCCCAGTTACGCGCCGGGCACTCTCCCAACTAAGCTACCGGGAACTACGGAAATCTTCTCTCCAAATTCGTCAGACAACACCACCGACCACTTTTAGGTATTAAATCAATTGAAAGAGAATTAGAATTTAGAGAAAAAATGTTTGCGCATAATATTTCAACACGTTCTACCCCCTGCAGGATTTTCAAACGGTTGTGGGTGATTTTCGGCTGTGGGACCAGCCGAAAATCACACACAGAAAAACCTAAACGTGAATTACGTTTAAGAAGTCGTCTTTTATGCTTTCGAAAACTTATTTTACGATCGAAGTTGAAGCGTAAATTACGCTCAAAATCGCCGTAAATTACGATTACATCGACGGAATTTACGATTTAGTATTCGTAAATTACGCTCAAAGTACGATGATCTTTGCGTATTTTTGATAAATATAAAAGACGCTTTGTTTACACTGTTAAAAATTTTTGTCTGAATTTTCCGTGCCAAATTCCGAAAAGTTTTATTGTGTTTCAATTTCACCGAAATTTCAGGAAATCTTGTCATTAAAAATTCAAAATCCCGTGGAAAATTAAAACAGAACTGTAAATTTCCGTTCCATTTTTTCCTGAAAATGAATAGAAAACCAGAAAATTGTGGGCAATATATTCTGGAAGGGCTGAAGGCCCTCGGGCGATGGCCAGTCACAAACAAGCTTCTTGTGACAAATTCCGTTAAACATTAAATAAAAAATATCTTCTTGAATTTTCAGGATAGTGATACTGAATGCGATTTAGGGGGAAAAAACTATGTAATTTCAGATTTCACTGGAAATTCAATGCAATTCAACACTGAATATTTATACTAGATTGGAAATTGAAATAAATTAAGGAATTCTCGTCTTTATGCCCCTTAAGATTCTGGAATTTTACTAAATTTTCAGTGAAACCTGAAATTTCATGTTTTTTTTCCCCTAAAATCATATTTAGTGTCACTATCCTGAAAATTGGTACACTGAGAAAAAAAATTTCTAATATCTGAAACATATTTTCTTGAGACAAGTAAATTTTTTTCAATTGTTTAATTCTCTCAGGCATCTCAACTCACATGACCCGAGAAAGGCCTCATGCTTTAAAATATTCTTGTACTCAAGTATGATTTTGTCGCAAATGAACTCACTCAAATCGCGTAGAAGAATCGTAAATCTTCTAGTTTTTATTGTTTTCATGATTTTCTCGTTATGCACTTCCAATATTGCAATATGTAAAATATTCATGACGTAACGCGGAACGATAGTGATGAATGAAAATTTATTCGAGTTCCGTGAAGTGCACACATTCTGAGATTTAAGCCATTGAAAATAATTTACTTCTCTCAAAAAAATATGTTTCAGATATTAGAAATTTTTTTTCTCAGTGTAGCCAACTGTCGATGAAATTTCATTTTTTTCAACCGTGTAGGCAAAATTTTCATAATTTATATTATTTCAATTTTATAATTTAGAAACAGGTAAAATACGCTTTGATTAGGCATAATTTACGTTTTTATTTTGACCATAAAATAAGGTTTTTCAAAGCCTGACACTGAGAGAAGAAATGAGTTCTGCCGAAACATAATATGTTCCCCGGAAGAGATCTTTTGTCGTGCTGAACCTTAGTTGTAGGGAATGAAGGAAGTTTCCACCAAAACATGCTAATGTCCGCAGTAGTAATTCTTCTCGTAAGATATTTATATGTCTTCCGGGTAATTATATTAGTTAGTTATTGAGTAGTATTTATATTATCGCCTCTGGGAGTTTATTCTCGACTTGCTTAGTCTCAAATCCAGGATATTTGAATACACAAATCACTTGACTCGGTTCGAAAAGTCGACTCCGTGTTGTAAACGAATGGCCCCTCACACTCAAAAAAAAAATTACTTCTAATCAGTAGAAAAAGTACTTCTACCGAGTACCAAAGGGTTTCTGGGGAAAAGGCAAATTTTGTACTTCCTCGAAGTCACAAAAGAGCTGGATGCAAGTATCATGCGTCAAGTACCTGGGTGCTGGTGAGAAGTACCTCGGTACTTGTCACAGGTACTTTTGTTACTCGGGACAAGTAAAAAAAGTACTTGTACTGAGTACCTGCCCGAGTGGAAATTCTGTTCAGGTCTCGATCAGAAACTGATCAAGTCCGATCCGAAATTCTGATCAGGCATGTCACGCCTCTGCCTTATGTTTTTCCACTAGGGTGGCTGGTTCAGTTCAACCGTACCAAGAGAATGCAATATAAGTGGCAATAGTACTCAAATCCAGTACTCAGGATTTTTTTCAGGAATTCATTCAAGATTACAAGTGAAGATCCAAATGTTGGAGCACAAGTAAACAGACAGTTGAAATGGTAATTCGCGTTTTCAAAAACCTAATGTACGATTTCCTCAAACGGGTAAATTACGCTTTTAAGATCGTAAATTATGGTCAGAATAACGTAAATTACGATTTCAAGAACGTGAATTGCGATTCTCAAAATTGGAAATGAATTTGGTTTAGAAAACACCCATGAAAATCACAATCTACTGACTTTTTCTGACAAAATATCTTCTCCTGATTCCATCTGTTTACAAAAATATGCAAAAAAGCTCATTTTATCCGTCGCAAATATTCGTTTTTCTCAATGCAGTAATCAATTGAAAGCACTGAAATTAAGTCATAAAAATAAAGGAGAGTGGGGTAAAACGGTCCCTTTTCACTTTTTTTTATACTCATAACTCAGAAACAAATTCATCAATTGAGATCACTCTAGGCTCATTCTAAAGGGGAAGAAGTGTAGTTTCCATGGAAAAAAATTATACCATTTTATTTAAAATTGAATAAGCCGTTAACATTTTTTAAAAAAGCAAATATCGGCCGTTTTACCCCACTCTCCCCTATTTGAGAGAAGTTCAAAAATTACTTTTCACCAGTACCTGTCGTACTTGTGAAAAGTATTAAAAGTACTAGCAGAAAGTAGTGAAGCTACTTCGTCTCAGTACTTCACTCAAGGATACGAAAAATACTCGGGATATGTATTTTTCGAACTTCTCACAAGTGAACTTCCCCCAAGTACCGATTGGTACTGTTGAGAAGTACATTTTTCATTCGGTGAATCTTTCGGATATGCATACAATTTATTGACGACAGGATTTTGTTCTGTGTACAGAATGAATTAATCCTGCTGTCAGTATTGAAAGACTGTCCCTAAAAATCTGCGTAAACATTGATGGAATTCGAAATTAGCAAATGGGTTTTCAATTCATATTGTCTGTTTGATTTATAAATATCTAATGGATTTACATTTGTGTTTCAGTGCGGTGGATTTCCATGTGTCGAAGCCGTTGGTCAACGCAAATCCATTAGGGTGAGTACTGAACGATTATTAATTAAAGCGACTCCATAATAACGAACATCAATTTATTGCGGGATACATGACAACACCGGCTGTAATTGGAGAGGCCCTAGATTTAAAAATAAGTTGGATCGATCATTACCTTCTTACGTAATGGCATTACTATGTGAATCCAATTAATGTTCACGTCGGGGTCAAAAAATTACCGGTAACAATCTTCGTTGGATATTTTATGCAAGAAGATTTTACGGAAATTGAATATTCAATTAAATGTTAGCAAATGGTAGAGGTAAGAGTCATTATATCTTCTATTATTTGTCTTCAGTACGATGTTTTGAGTGAAAAATTACTATTTCTTGAATTATGCAATGGAAATATATTTTTTAAAGAGCTTTCATTTGTTGATAGTCGAGAATAGAATTGGATTGACTCATTTTTAATTATTCAATTGAATATTCACTCATTTGCCAGATAATTGCAAGAATAATTGCGATTTTCGGTCATTTTGAATACTTGGCCCACTGAAAAAAATTATAACCGCTGAACTACGGCGCAGGACAAACTTTAATTGGCGGCAAAATTCCTTTCATTTTATTGACAATTTTTCGTGAAAATCTCAGATTTGTCAAAAATTGTGGTTCTTAGTAATTAACGATTGAAAAAAAAAACGTTTTCTTGTATAAATTCTGTCAAACAGAAGATAATGCGATGTATGACGTCTCATTTTGAAGTGTTTTTTATGTTCTTTGATTATGCCAAAGGGCGATTCGTTTGCCTGGAACCCCGCGGAGATATTCAGGTAAATTTGGACAAAAGCTTTTTTTTTTAACAAAAACTAGCCATTTTCAAAAAATCATAACTCCCTTAATTATCACTATTTTTAATTTTTCGTCTTTCAAAATTTTCGTCTAATCTCCATCATTTCAGAAAAAAAAATTGAGACAAAAATCCCCAGCATCGACTTTTTTGGCCTGCTGATTTGGCGTCGATTTGCTCATATGACACTCCGTAGAAATTTGCGCGCAGAACAGTGATTTCTGCAATTGTGTAGCGATACATCACAATTGCGTCAGGGTCTCAATAAGGGATATGGGAATGAGAAAACCAGGCTCAGGAACTAAGGGTCACCAGGGTCAAAATAACGGTCAGGAGGGTTATAATGAGGGTCAGATTAAGGATCCAAATAAGGGTCAGAAGGGTCAGATTGAGGACCACAAAGCTCAGATCAAGGGTTCACATAAGGGTTATGGGGGTCAACAACTCAGGCTCAGAAACTAAGGGTCACCAGGGTCAAAATAAGCGTCACGGAGGTTATAATGAAGGTCATATTATGGACCCAAATAAGGCCCATAAGTATCAGATTAAGGACCACAAAGGCAGACTAAGGGTCCACATAAGGGTCGTGAGGGTCAGAAACTAAGCGTTACAAGGGTCAGAATAAGGGTCTCAATATCTCTCTCCATTGTAAAAATCCAAATCGACTAATGGTGATGAAAATGTGGTGCTCGAAATAAGACTCTCAAATTAAGGATCAGACATGAAGGGTCAAAATGAGGGTCATGAGAGGTATAATGAGGATCAGAATGAGGGTCACGAGGGTCAGAATAAGGAACATGGGAATCATATGGGATCATATGGGGGTTGGTGAGCGGAGCGAGCCAGTGACCCCCCTAGTTTATACTTAATTTTCAAATAATTTTCGTATTGATATAACTTTCGGTCGTGATGTAATTCCCTCCTAAAACGTTTTGAATATAAACTCTCAATTCTTCGAACGCTTCCGAACGGAAAACATTATCATCATCGAGATCATAACAACGTTGGAATAGAAAAATATAAGATGGATCACAAGCTTCCACAGTCCCACATTCACTCTTATCTCGAAAATTTCTGAGGTTTCCCCCGTTATAACTAAAACAGCATGACTATCCTTATCTCCTTGTTCTGTGGGAACTATACTTTAGCATGTACTGCTGAATGATAAATGACCATGAAATTCGAAATGTTGGATTCAGAGAGCATGTCATAGCAAAGACCAACTCGTAGATTTATTGAATGCACTGCGACCTCTGGGAATACGCATAATATCGTACATACGTGAAATCCCAGGAGGCGAGAATCTCAACCATTGGAGTAATAAAATTGAACGGCGATTTGGGAATTCGATTTGCATCTTACCGAAGGCTGGGTAATTCTTATGAAGTGACCTCGCAAATTTTGAGAATTTTTGGAACAGATTATTGCTTAAATAATACTCACGCTCGTTGAAGTACTACAGACGTCAGAGCGTCAGCTCATGGTGAGATTTTTGCAGTATTCCTTCACGCAGATTCCAGTTTTCGGTATTGAACGGATATTTATGACGCTGCTGAAAGATTGTTCACTTGCATTTTCCCCGGAAATTCTTAAAATTCAGGTGAATATTGAAATTCCTGGCAATGCTATCTGTATTGGGAATTCATGGAGAAAATCAATGCAGTATTTATTTACACTTGCATGCGCTTTTCGCAGGTATTGATCGGGTGCTTCATGTTTAATATGTCTATTCAGATGTACGTTGGGTAATGATGAATGAACAAATTGATTACAATCTTCATGTTATCGAAGCATATATTACTGTCAACGACCTAGTTTTCGGTCACTTTATTTGATTTTTTTTTATTTAAGCATTTCTGAACAATTCCAGTTCAATTTGCATACATATTTCTCGTTATAAATATGAGACCATCTGATTTATCTACAGATGTTGTGGTAGCTTGGAACTATTAACAATACACTTCAAATTTTTATAGTTTTCGGTCACTTAAGATCAGTTTTCGGACAGACTTAGAACAGCATAACTTTATTTCTAGAACAGAATTATTTTGCGGGCTTCCTTATTTCCCTATTATTGTAGCTTCTTCCAAATTGGAAAAAGCTACAAGTGAAGAATTTATTACTATGACTTCAGGAATTTCCTTTACAGCCAGTTTGAATGATTTTGGATGATCAGTTATTATGACTCAGGTATGTATGGAAAAAACTAGCTTAATGTCTTCAGTGGCTTGCTCAACCAAAAATTATTATGAATTCAAAAATCAAAACATGAAAATTAAACATTAACAAATCATGGTAATAGTTAAAAAGCGAGGGGCTGATCATTTAGGAAATCATCACACTGCGAATCACTGGAGGATTCGGCTGGAAATCAAGGAAGAAATCACCGGAAATTAATGGAAATCAAGTGATTGCCATTTTCGGTAGTGATTTCTAAAGATTTCTGGAAATCATCGGAAATCAATAGAAATTATGAAAAAATCAGGTGATTTCCGAAATCATTAGAAATAATCGATAAGTTTAAAAAAAAATCGAAATTGATTTTACAGTTTCAAGCCTACAATTTTTATGGTATCGGTGCATTCGAAATAATCCAATCTCGAAATGTGACGCTATGAAGTTTTTCACATCCTTACGTATTGTAATGTCATGTATAAAACTGCCATTATCGACAGATCCCTCACTCTGGTTTCGAAATCACGATTTTTTCATTGATTTCTTAAAATCGAGAAATCATTAGAATCTACAAGCAATCATGGAAATCACAAGATATCAAAAGAAATCATAATTTCTAATGCCGATGGAGAAATCACAAAAATCATTTGAGAAATCACGGAAATCACCAGGAAATCACAAGGAATCATCAGATTCTGGAAATCACTGAGCCACTCGATTGAGGAGTAACCAATCCATCATTTAAAAGCCCGTTAACAGCAACTAAATCTCTCTATTAATGTGGATTACTATCTGACTGTAGAGATATAATCATATCTTTCCCGCTTTATATTCCATCATACGACATCTTCTGCGCCTTTTAAAGCCTATACAGAGTTCGAAATACATGATCCTCACAAAGCTACACCTGACGCTAAATTTAGAATTCTATTGGAGCAGCCAGGATTTCATCCATCAGATATTAGAGAATCCTTTACGCGACATTGTGTGAACATAATATGAACGATTTTGTTCAGCTACTAAGAGAATTGTAACTGGTAGTACAATACCACATAGTTTCTGCGATCATCTGCAATGAAATTAAAGGTTCTTTTTCCGACGGGAACTTCTATGATACTATTTCCGAAGTTTGAGTTTGAAAAGAAGTCGGAAGACCCCAGGGTAGCTTTTTACCCAAGAAAATTGTGGCAAGTACCCCATAACCGCGGTTATTTTCTCGAGAGAACCTCCGGGAATCATCTTATCCTCCTTTTGGGACAGTGTCATCGTTTCTTTAGGTTAATGAGACCCGGAGTGGTTTTGCTAATTCAGTATCTAAGTTTCGGTTTTACGGTGGTAGAGTTATACTCTTGAGATGTGTTAATTGCTGTCGTGATTTTCCAGAAGTGTGTTGTCAATAAAAATAAGGAGTTTTCTTTTATCCGCTAATCTTCCGGGCATTCTCATCTTTCTTTGGAAGGCAGATGATGTACTCTCGTTCAGATGAGGATCGAAAGTTTCCTTCAAGATGACTCTAGGCGGTCTTTAGCTTCATCCCGTTCCTCCATCATCACCGAAAATGAAGGATCACCCTCTAGTGATGGGTACAGATTTCTGACCCCAATCGAGGGAGGACAGCTTTGATCCTACTCTTTCTCCTTTCCTCCTTCAGGCAGTTAGTTTGTGCTGGATTCATCTCCTGAGGTGACATTCTACTCACATCGTTTCATGTATCTCGTTGTGTCATTGATTGGATTGCAATCCGATAAGTGACACTCAATTAATGCAAGTGCCTCTTCAAGGACTTACGACTTACTTGAGAGAAGGAATGCTCAGCATCGGAAATGTGGTACAACTGTCTCCAAAGTGTCGTTATAGAGGAGCACAGAAAAAATTCGAAATCCGCACGAGATGTCTTCGTGCACTTCCATGAAATTTGCAAGTAAAATGCCAGAAAAATACTATGGTGGCACATGGATATTTGTAGATCTCTACATTTCGTTCTCATTGATTTTCGAGGTAATTGATGCAGGTTTTTTTAC